ATAGCGAGTTTAGCTGGCTAAAACACATGAGGTACGAAACGTGCGTTTGCTGTCCGGTGTGTTCGCAGAGAGATGCTGTCAGCTGTCGTACTCATGATGTCCGTGGCTGTGAGTGTCTTCACTTGTTGTCTGAATCCGAGCTTCAGAAATGTCAGTACTGCACCCGACCTGGTTTTCGTGGAGATTGCAGAATTCGCATCAAAATGTTTGCACCTTGGTTTTCATTTACAGTCCCTGAAGAAAGCAAGACTCCAGTTAATCAGGTAAGTATCTGTCTTTCGCCAACATTACGTACAATTTATACAATTCAGAACTGTTCTTTTCGAACACTACTACAACTACTGCAACAATTATATCTTCAACATCGTCAAATTAAACACAACTAAAGCATGAGCTATTTCAGGCAGGGCAGAGTCTCGGCAAATTATATATCTTGTCAAGTTGACCTTCACATTTTTTAGTAAAAGATAGCATTTTCTTATATAACAACTTAATATTGCTACTTAAATGGTAATGAAAAAATAAATACTATAAAACAACAAAAACAAAGGTAAACATAGTTGTAATATTCATAATTGCTTGGTTCCTTTTTTTTTTTGCAAGCAGCAAGGTGCATCTGGATGTGACGTGGTGAAGAGAAGCCGTGTAACTTACCAAGAAGGTAAATATAAACACTTAAATCCCGTACAAGCCTGAATTTTTTTCAGGCTTTCTTTTCGCAACTGCAAAAGTTGCGTAAGGGTATATATAACTGCCATGACCTTCCTTCATATAACACTTAAATTAGTTGTACATATTTTCAAATTCCGTGTGTTTTTGTATTAACATAACATAACGTATTTATTCAGGATGAGAAAAATAAAAATTGTTAAACATTTTGAAAAGGAAAACTGGAAGTTGACCCATGACGTTTCGCTAAATAAAAAGATAAAACAGATACAAGCTACGTACACTGTAAGAATACTTAAAATAGGACATTTAAAAACTATTTACAAGCAAAGTATAAAGAGGATCACTAATGATCAATAAAAGCAATAGGTGAACAAAACAAACAACTAAAGGATATTTAGGGAGCGTTTCAGGGCACTCTTAAAACGGTTCAGGCTCCAAACCTCAACAACAGATCCTGGTAGACTATTCCAGTCCCGCATGATTCGGATGGGAAAAAATATATATATTTATATGGATTACGCTTTGCTGGCTCAGCACGTAAAGCTTGTATGAGTGGTTAGTGCGGGTTGAATTGTACTTGGTAAATTAAAAAAGATCTTAGTTTGTCCATGCCCAAAACGATCTTGTAGCATTCAAATAAAAAAAAGAATGAAACCATCTACGTGTTTCGAGGGTAGGCCACTTCAGCTTCCTTAAACGATCTTCGTATTCCATCTCCTCTCGTTTTTTCCCGAGAGCAAGGCGAAAGGCTCTTCGCTGAACTTTCTCTAACGTTAGCCCATTCTTATAGCCAAATATGGATTCCAGACTGGAGCAGCGTATTCAAGAACCGGGCGCACAAGAGATTTTTATAACTTAGATAACGCAACGTGATTCAACGAGCCCACTGTTCTGTGAACCAAATCCAATTATTTGTTAGCTTTAGTCACGTTAACATGTTCACGCCCAAACCTTAACGCACTTTACGGTTTTAAGGCTCGTATCCAATGTGTATGTAGGGAGGCAGAGGTCACGTTTGTGCGTTATACGTAAAACTTCGCACTTATCGGAGTTAAAACGCAATTCCCATTTATAAGATGGCCAGGATAATATCTGATCTACATCAAATTGTAGGGCTTCACTGTCCCTTGCTATGTTTGACAGTTCTCTGTATAATTTGGGGTCGTCAGCAAATATCCTTAATGTCAGTAGAAGAGATGTCAGATGATATGTTCTTGACGTAAATCAGAAATAAAAGTGGGCCCGGGATCGTACCTCGGAGAACCCCCGACGTTACACAAGACCAAGATGTGTGAAACCTCGAAAAACAACACGTTGTTTGCGGTCAGTTAAAAAGCTTCTAAACCAACGCGGTAATGAGCCGTCGATCCCTTGACATTTTATTTTGAGTAACAGTCCTTCGTGAGGCACAGAGTCAAACGCTTTTGAGAAAACTAATCTAATATAACATCTTTCAACTCAATTTATAAAAGTGGTCACTTGGATTTTTCTCTTGTAACATGTTGCTTAAATTTTCAGAGATGTCTCTTGCTCTCCCCCCTGATGTTCTTCAGTGCATTCAGACTCAGTGGAACGAACCCAAGGAAATTGTAGTACGATTTCAAGAGTGTCTGCAGCTAACTCCAGCAGATCTGGAAAATCCGGTGCTCAAGACGCAAAAATGGATTCGGTGTCTCGCTTATAAAGCTAAATCTCAAAACAGAAGCGACGTAATTGAGTACTTGAGGACGATAGCACCGGCCGGTACTACAGGTACGTCCTCATCAGAAACACCATATAAATGATAAAAAACAGCTTCGTTCTTTCTTTTATTACCACCAGTGTATGGAGAGTTAATTTCAAGTAGTAAATGAAGTTTCCCCCGCATCTTTCAAGCAAGAGCACTATTTGTATTAATAGTCACCTCATTTTCGCCACATTTAGATTCTCAAAAAAAGTTTATGTTCAACGTTTACCAACTTTGTTTATGAAGAAGTATATAAAGCAGATTTGCATACAGCTATTCTGAGAAAGGTCGCCGGAAAAAGTGAACGAGACAATCCCGGAGGGTATATTGTGGGTGGTTTTTAGTGCACGGCAGGCCACGGACATATGTTTGCGAGTGCTAAGGGAAAGTAATAAAAGAAGATTCGACAGCTACAGTCGTTATGAAGAGTGTGTTGATCATATCCCAAATTACCTTTCGGGATTGTCGCGTAAACATTTTTTCTGACAACCTTTCTCCAAATACAGATGTAGAAGTTTGTTTTATTTACTCCATGTTGCTTGGTAACCAGGTCCCCTATTGAACGAGAACCTTGATGTCCGTTGTATCCCTTTTAAGATGAGAAAGGAACTAACATTTAGTCTTTGTGGTAAGTGCTGTTAATTTGTTATTTCCAGCTAGCATCTCACATGTGTGTCTCTCGATAACATCTCAAAAGATTATTTCCAGGTTTTAGACATATCAATGTAAAAACAATCCAACAGCAGCGAGAAGTTGATTTTGGTATGCCTATCCGTATAAACTATGTTGCGGTTTAATGTTATTTAGATTTGGTTTAAACTAGCCTGCCAGCAAGCTCTCCTATTTGGGCGAGCGAAGCGTCAGCCGCGAGGGGCCGAGGAAAGGACTCTAGCGCGTCTACTTTTCACTAGACTGTTCACAGTCCTCTATTTTTCCCTAAGATTGTTGAGATCGAGCGCTTTGCGTTACGGGCTGCCATCTTGCATAAGAGTCAAAACTACAGAGGGGGCGGGGGCGGTTTGGGAGGGAGCGAGAAAAATAGAGGGACTGTGATAACATCACTGCAGCTCGCGTTCAGGAGGCGTTACAAGAATTTCACGCCTCTTATCAAACTCCGCTGGCGATGAAAAATATACCAGACACATTTAGCATCTATTTCGCGTGTTTACACATATCTCCTTTTGGAACAGTGATTTTATACAGTTTCTGGGCCATTTCGCCAAATAAAATCGGCAAAAATGCATATGTGAAACATTTTCCTAATCGAAGCGTTAAGCACGCTCGATTCACCACAGATTAAAACGGTTAAACCTCCCGATAAAAGCCAGGCATTTCTGACAGGTCGTCTTTTTTGCGTCGGCGTAGGTTAAAATTCAGTTCGTTTGGCACAAACTGTGTTACAACATTCACTTATTCACCTGGCCGGGCTGCTTCAAAAGCTTGTTGGCTTACGTGATTCATCCTCAGAATACCAAAAATCCTTGGTGTGTTGGCGCAAGATGTGCCTTATGGTAGTATTAGCGGAGCTCCACGCGCGCGCGAAGCGCGCGCGTGGGCGGAGCCCCATAGCTTAGAAAATCTACCCATCCCAGAAAATTTGGTAATCACGTGACCGTACACCGACCGCCGACCGCCGACCGCCGACCGACCGTCCGTCCGCACCACAGGATAACCAATGTTTACTCTCACACTTTTAGCTAGTTTAGGAGCCCAAGAGAAAACTAATTACACATCAATGTTGTGATCAATTGTCAGCTGTCAAAACAGGGCATCCGCTGACCAGTATCACCTGACCGTAGCGCGGGCTCAAGTGTCGATCCATCGAGGTCGAGTATTTTTTGAAGTTATCCGCTGACAAATTACCAGTTTGAAATGATCGCAGGCTCAAGTTTATTTTTTCCAAGGATTCATATCAAATATGTTGTGTTTATGTCACTATGGCCCCGCACTATTAGAATTTTGATTTCAAACTGACTTCGGAAGCGAAAATTCAGCCAGTTTTTTTAAAAGTACAGGCGGGGAAGACCTTATCTTACCATGGTCACGCGTTGGTCACGCTCTACGTCCAATTTTTATACTCTGATTGGTCAAAATTTGACAGGTGAGTTCATGCGAAAAAATTATGCAGCATCTTGAAAATTGTTTACTTTGACAGCTGAAGCTGAAGAGTTTTGTGTCAACTTGTGATGTTTTTAACTGTCTTTTTCTTCTGGATGTACAAAATGAAATACAGCTGCTATCAAGAGTCTTCTGTTATTCATGGCTGGTTTGTTTACTGGGTTTTTGGTTGAGGAACGCGTCGCTTGTCAAAATTTGGTAATTCGATTTCGGATGGCATCGTTTTCGTTTTTCACCTTGCTTAATGCTTAAGAGGGTTTAAAAGTCTCAAGCAACTGTGGCCTTCCTTGATAGCTTTCAGGAACTGAATCTCGAATGGTAAGCCTGAGTAACTATTGTATTTGATGTTTGTTTTTGTTATATCTAATTTCATGAAGTCTTGCACATTCACGCTGACAGTTTATGCGGCAAGTTTATGCACGTTTGTAGCCGTAGTTTGAGTCAATGATCTGACCTAGTATCAGGTTTGAACGGTTTGATATAAGCTTACAGAACTTTAAAAAGCCTTCAGATATATTTGCTCACCACAGATAGAAAGAAAACGTTCCGAAGAATATTTAGTTATAAATTTGGCTGTAGAAAGAAAACTTTGAGCGATTTTCTTGCTTCGAGGAGTTCACCTTGGAAAACAGTAAACACCCGCGCCGGGAAGCCGGCTTATAAAGCTTCACGCCGAGACTCAGGATTTTTAGAGACACTTTAATACTTGTCTTCATGAATGAAAATTGTTATCTCTGTAAATGTTTCACCGAATTATATTTCTTTTTTTGATTGTTAGTAGTCTCTCTTGCAATTTTAATCGCTTGTCTGTGCCGTTTGTTTTCATCGTTCATGAACATCGCTTGCAGGAGTACTCAAAAATGTCGCGCGTATCAAACGCTTTATAAGATTACACATCGTTATAACTGAAACCATTAAATAACAAAAAAAATAATAATAAATTCGCTATTATGTTGAAGCTTAACTCTATTAAAGTTCATTCAAACACTCGACCACACTGACAGCTCGCACTATAGAAACGAGAACCGGCTGGCCATATGGGTGATTTTGGAAATTTTTGAACGGTTTCGCTTTACGATTGATCGTCCTTGATATTGACTGAGTGCAATTTGTCTTGAAAAATTGTGAAATACTGCATTATGTCCGAGGTCTGTATTATAAATAGTACTGTTTCACCTCAAATGTGATGTATAAAAATTATAAAACGTTGGTTTAAACACCCCCAGATTTGTTAGCAAGAATTTGTAAAGTAAACCTGTCGAACGCAAAAAAATTCGGCGTGATTTGTTTTCCAAGAATTTGTTTTCGAGGCCTAATCTACTGTGATCTTGAATGTGATCGAAGATGTTTGCTATTTTTTGGGTGTACATATAAGGTTATCAATTCGATGTAAGATGTTTCACTCTAAAATAACTTAGCCTTTCCCTCAAAAGTCACATGAATGTGCCCTTAAGTTAAATGATTTGTGGATTAAAAGTTTATTGTTTGATTTAAATTATAAATTTATTAATTGGAGCTTCGCTTTTAGCCCTGGCTAAATCTATATATTATGAAGACGTACGTTTTATAGAAACGACGACGTGTCAACGACTTGTCAGGTCGGCAACTTAATAACCCACACCCATTGTCAGCGCAAAAAAACATCTATTGTCTAATGACCAATCAAACACCTGCGATGCTGGTACAACACGCTCCGTGAACGCAAGCTGCAGTGATGTTAATACAGTCCCTCTATTTTTCTCGTTCCCCTCCCCCTACAGCTATAATCCCCGACGCCCGCTCCCTCGGTACATTTGAAAATCAAGATGGCCACCATTAACGGTAAGACGCGCTATATCTCGACGATCTCACGAAAAAAAGGGGACTGTGAACAGTCTAACTTTTCACGATATCCCCCAAATGGAGAGCTTGCACGCAGGCTAGGTTTAAACACATTAACATACGTGACCATGCATACCCCAAAACAAAGGGGAATAATATTTAAACTAAGGATAAAATTGAACCACAACATATCCATGGAATTTTGAAAAAAAAGTTATAAAAAAAGAAAAAAAACATCCATTTTAATTTTACTTACTTCAAAAAGCTAGCTAACTTGAGAAAAAAAAAAAGACAGTAGCCTTCAAAAAGGCATTTGATATCACCGAAAAAATGTCTTGCTGTACAGTATATTGTTAACAGTTGTACCGGTCATTTTCACTGAATCAAAGCTCATTTCTTCTTGTAAGGTGGAGAAGAATGGAAGCAGCTAGCAGAGAGCCTTGGTATGTCTTACAACGAGATCCGCTTTCTTGACAAGAGAACCACCAATCCGTGTGACGTTGTCCTTGATCTTATTGCGAATCACCGCTATTTGATGGTTGGAGAACTTTATGACAGACTCGTCATGAGCGGACTTCCAGGATCAGCCGACTTACTGTGAATTATGATAAGTCTTGCTGATGTATTCTGAGTACATTTTTTCAGTTCAATTGATTAGCGAGTTGGCATGTATAGAGCAGCCGTAAGACGGAAAAAATTTAAGTACAGAACCACTTTCAAATATATGTTCTAGATAAATCTTAAACACGTGGAATATATTGTTACTGTAGCTTGCTAGTTGTTGTGCATGGTCACTCAAACGAGAAGAGTGTAGCATGTCCATCTACCGGTTTCGTTGCATACAGAGCTGCAAATTTAGAAGTTTTTAAATAATCAGCCGTTAGACAAGCGTTAAAAAAGAATATTTTTGCAAACAATTCAGAAGAAAAAAAGAAAAGAAAAGAAAAGAGCATAAGAAAAATAAGAACTTCAGAAAGCTATTTCTTTGGTAATTGGACACAATTATGGTGGCAAATTTAGTAAATTAGTAGCCGATTATGGAACACATTAAATTTGATTTAAATTCTGTGTAAAAGCCTGTATTCCAGTTTTCCGTTGTTTTCATTTATTTGAGAATCTGGCTTAAACATGTTCAGTTGGTGTGAATGGGGCATAAAGTTCGGTTTTTGATAACGGAACTTAGCCAGTGTTTAATAAACTGCGTTAACTGATGCACTAACTAAAAACGGTGAATGAAGAGTTTTGTTGCTAAAGAAACTGTGTTATGTCAGGGGGGGGGGGGTTTTTATTTTATTTGGGGAGAAAAAGAGAGGCGGGGGTTTTGGGGGAAGCCCCTTCCTCAAGATGGGAAGAGGGTGGGGGGGGGAAAGAGTTAAATTCTGGGGGGCGGCCGGATAATCAAAAAAAAAAAAAGTGAATATATGAGGGCGCGCAGAATCAAACAAACTAATGTGGGGGGGGGGGGGGGGGGGGATTTGATTTGATTTGGGAGAAGAAGAGATGCTGACGTTTTGAGCGATAGCCCTTCATCAGTCGTGAGAGCGAATTATCCGAAGAAATCGCTCCGTTTGTAGATCAAAATCAACCTTCTTTCAAACCGAGAAGTATCCCTCTGTTGTTTTGAAATGTTGAAAATGCTTCGCCATAATTTCGTATAATATTTTCACAATGTTTGATGTTGGGGTAATATAGCAATTTTATACTTCCTTTTTGCAGTAAAATACATTTCTTTTGAAGTCGGACTAAAATGAATATCAGAGAAGTGTTTAATGGCGTTTAAACACCTATTGCCAATCTATTTTGATCGACCTTTTCATGTTTTTAAATAGCCTCCCACGCAGGCGTTTTTAGGGGAGCTCGTTTTTCATCCCTTCCCACAAACGCCGTTTGTGGGGAGGGATGAAAGACGAGCTCCCCTAAAAACGCCTGTGTGGGAGGCTAGTTTTAAACTGCTTTAAATTATACAGACCGAAATGGACAACAAACATACTTACTTACTTGCTTTCTTTCTTACTTACTTCATTGATAAAACCGAATCTCATTACATAGGGAACAATTTCTAGATTCCAAAATTCAGATTACCAAATTCTTCAAAACTTCACTGCAAGCCTTACTACGATATTCACTTTCTTGACAAGAGATCAGAACCACCAATCCGTGTGACGTTGTGCTAGATCTTATGGCTAATCACCGCTATTTAAACGTTGGGGAATGATATGACAGATTGGTGAAAAGTGACCTTCCAGGAGCGGCTGACTTTCTGTAAATGAGCTCATTTCATTTAGCTTTGTATTCCGCGTGCTCATAACATTTCGCGGGAAGATAGAAAAAAGTTCGTTGTCAAGGCGGCTAAGATCTAAGGACGAGTACATAAAGCGAATTCTTCAATTCAGCTGGCTGTTACGCGGGTAGAATCTCACACTGGCCTCATTCCTTTAGCCTCTATGTTTTCTGCTTGGCAACAGCCACTGCCCAGTGAACGCGGTGGGTAGTCAAAACGTCATACTCGTAGTCGGATCTCAAGCAACCTCGGTTGTTTCACTCTCTTATGAGACCTTTTTTCACCTTTCCCTTCTTACTTCCTTAAAACGTTAAAAACTCCAGCGTTGCGGCATTAACGTCATTATGACAATTTCTGGCGTTAGAATATTTTGGTAAGATCGTGCTTAGAAAGAGGTTTCTCGTCGCGCTAAATCAATTTGATTGCACTAAAGTTTCTGCTGTTGTGACGCTCTAGGTTTAGCAACATCTTATACTGAAAGTTCAGCGACGTCCTCTTGACCTCAGATAGCAATTATACTTGCATCCCCTGGAAAAAGAACAAAAATTATAGCGCGTATAGCAAAGAGGATGTTGACTCAACTTGACCGAGACACACGTTTAAACGGGACGCAGTATTTACAAGTCCATTGGTTAACTTATACGGGAAAGTGGTACAACTACACGGGTTAGCTTTTTAATAATTTGAAAATAAGCCGAGCAAGTTTTCACTTTATTTTTACTACATTGTTAGCGTATAGCCTGCGTCACAGACGAAGCTATGCTCTGTTAAGTCCGTCTGCGAAACCACATCGAAATACTTGTTCTAGGACCCCACCTGTATACCAGGATTTGAATACGCGCCATGATTGGCCTGTTAAAAAAGCGATTGTCGATTTGCCAATCAAGATGAAAGGAAACTCGAAACGCACTTCCGGTAATTCGGTACGTGAGTCCTTTGCGACCCAGAACGAGAATCTCGGCGCTGCTTCGTAGAGGTTGGTTAAATTGCGACGTGGTATTGTAGATAACGTATCTGTCTTTTAGAAATGAAAAACAACAAAAGAAGAAGAAAAGAAAGTGAAAAAAGTGAGACTAGAATCCGGGTTAAAAAAATGTGGGGGTGTGTTCGAGCAACTCGCTCGCTACACGATGACCTACCAGAAATCTGATTTGCATCTTGGTCTTTACTCTTCCTTTGACTTCTGCTAACGATCTTAATCTTCTTACTCTTCCAACTAACTAGTTCAAGTATAGTTAGCGGTTTTTATAGCCAAAGCTGGGCATGTTTGGGTTAGCTGACCGTGAGAATTAAAGCAAGGTGAACCCGGTGTGGGTAATGTTTTGGTATAACTGAACCTACATGGTTGTGATCGGCAAGAAGCTACAAACCAATGAAAAACTAATTAAAAACGCTCACTGGTTAACAAACCCAAATGAGAACTTCAACGAGACTAATGAACCAAGGTCAGCTCTAACATCACAAACACGACTACCTATGAAAAACTAACATCTGATATAACGGCAAGCGAAGAATATTCCTAAAATGGCATTAATTAAATTCGCGAGCTAAGCATAAATTCAAGTACAAGTAAAAGCAAAAGATGTAAACAGGAACACACCTATTCGGACAAAATTAAGACTAACCTTGACCCACTTAATGAAACAAAAACGAAACTTAAAAAGATGAGACAAATCCGTCCTAAAAATAACTTTCAAAATACTTCACAACAAAAATGTCCGTTTCAAAAATGTTTGGATTTGTGTCATTATGTCGTGTACACGACCCTGACGGAGCCTATAAGCTTTGCTTAGGACAGCAGCTACAGTACAACTGCGATAACTCGAACTCGGCTAACTCGAACTCCCAGCTAACACGAACTAAATTTCCTTCCCCTCGATCAAAAGTTTTTCTGAAATTTACCCGAGGAAGCCAATGGGGTTACCAGCTGACTGACATCTGGCCAAAAAACAGTAGCTAACTGATAATTGGCCAAAAAATTAGAAGTTAACTGATAAATGAAAAGTAAACAGTTAAGTGATTATATTAATTTTACTGAATACGATCGTTGATGTTACTGAAAGCAACCAAGTTTTCCAAACACCAATGTTACTGAATTTTTTCTATCCGCTGTTGACCCAGTGGCACATTAACTGATACTAGAATATTAATATTAAGATATTAATTAAGATAAAGCGAGATCTTTACCACCAGCGCTGCGGGAGAATGTCATGCTTTTTGCTATCTTTTTAAAACGCTATAAAAATTTGTTTTTTTGCATCAACTGTATTCCACAAATAATGGTCCAGTTTTGTTATTTAAGACAGTCATATAGTTTGATAATGATATTGTTTCCTCTCGTCTGTTGCAATGGATTGCAAACTTTAATTTTTTTTTTATTAGTACTTAGAGCAAAAATCATTTAATAGGAGCCTTAATAGCTACTGCTTACCCATTTTTACTACTACGGTTAGATAATTATTATTTTCGAGTCATCATGTCAAGCTATCCAAGTGTCTGAAGGATTTTCATATACCCAGATTTATTACTGTACATTACAGAAAACATTCTTTGAGGTGCTATGGACCATATAAATGGTGTAGATTGGATATCAAAGTCAAAGACAAACCTAGCTTACAATCTTTTAAGTCCAGCATACGGCGCATTAACTTTGTAGATCTTATAAGCGAAAATTGTGGTTGCTGTATAATTTGTAGTTCTTAATTTTTAGCATTTTCCTGTGTTTTTTAGTAGGGTTAACTCCATAATTTTTAGTTTGAAATGTTTATAAATTTTAGATTTTAGGGGATAGTAGAATGATCTATATACTCTTTTCATAACAACCATTATCACTTTTTTCTCTTACTGTAAACATCTTTAAATATTTTTCTGTTAACTTAGTGTCCCTAATTAGCTGGTATTAGCTAAACAGATCGACATTTAAATAAAGTTGCGACGTTATATTATGTTATGTTCTAAATTTTCACTTTCTTATAAATTGTACGAGTGGTGGAAATCATGTGAATTCATGCTATTTATACCTTAATTTTAGTAGGGCCGACCCCCAAAAGTGATTAACTTGCTTAAATAGAGACAATTAGGATTATAACGGAATACTCTTCGCCGTGAGAAAGTGAACTGAAACACCCTCGGTACAGTATCTGGATGTGCGTGTTCATGTACTGCCAACAGTCTCCTAAACTACTTTCCAAAGTTACTGCGTTCCCAGACAGCGTCGGGTTCTCTAGCGGCTGAGCTACAGGAGAGTGTATAATACGTAGCATGCATCGCAGAAAACTCTCTACACCGCCTGCTCAGACCGATGGTTCAGACGTTGCGTGGGCCGGCTGCAACGCGGGCTGTTATGGTAAGCTAAAAGTGTAGTTAGCAGTACAACTGTCAAAAATATTTTCAAATCAGTCCGGACCGTGACTGTATTTTTAGGCCTTGTAGTCTACGTTCGATGCACCTAGTGTTGCTTTCTTTGAGGCCTTCTCACGTATAACGAAACTCTTCACTACCTGCTCCTTCGCTGGGACCAACTCACAGAAATATTTATCCAACTCACAGAAATATTTGGCTTGGCGAGATTAGACTTTTGGATTGTGCACTGAACTCACTGGTAAGGGGAAGGCGCACACACAAGAGCCAAAAGCCCAAACGGCTGGTGCTATCTCGGTTTCGTTAGCTTGAAGCGTGCATTACTCCCCCCTGGACAGGATGCGAGTCCATCGTAGGGTTACCTCCACGACAGTATGTCGCCGATTCCCATTTATACACCTGGGTGAAGAGAGACAAAGTGGAGTGAAGTTCCTTGAATGTCTAAGGAAACAACACGACGGGCGAGGCTTGAACCCTGTACCTCCAGATCAAGAGTTCGAGGTGTTTTCAGTAAAAGCGCTCGGCCACACACGCCTCCGCGATTGAACTGTACCTTATCAATCGCTTTATTGTATTCTGTGTTTTCTCTGTCATGCCATCAAAAATAAAAAATGCAAACCAGTCAAAACACAAAGTCCAGAATCTGGGAAATAAAACAAGAAAAATATACAAAAAGCCTCGCCAAGAATCAGGTCTGTGCGATAATTGATATTCGAGGAAAACGTTTTACCCAAATTTACAAGGCTTTGTATAGAGACGCCATGTTAGTGTCCTTTTGAGGGGCACAAATATGACCGCCGGAAACCAACAGAAATATCTGTTTTTGAGTTTTCCTACTTAAGCGTGAATTTATGGCTTAAGGAACTCATAAAGATTAAAGTAGTATTTATTCAAAGACAAGGGATGTTTAGATGGCAAAATCGCAAAATCTGAGTGACGTTCTTAATCCACATAAGAGCTTTCCAGGCCGCTAGCTAAATGCCACGTCACGCAAAAGCCCGGAAATTCAAGCATCTTCTATCGAAAAACGAAGAACCCTTTGGAACAGAAAATTTGTTTAAATAAAGGTTTTTAGGTGCTGTTAGTGATACCTCACGAAAGTAGGAGACTCAGAAGAATCGATAGTTTCTTAGTTTGAATTTTGGTGACGTCATGTGAAAACCCCTAATAATTATTTACCTATCTATCATGCTATCGGTATTGTTTTCATTTGAATTTATTATTAACCTCTTATGTAAATTAAATTCCAAACCTTAGGAGCCGTTATAGCATTCTTTTTCAGTGTAGCTCTGGCCCTGAGGAAGGTTAATTTTGTAAACTGAAATATTGCCGTCAAATAATCAGCCCTTTGCCGTATTGCCAGCCTTACATTCAGTTTTGTTTTAATTTACACGTACATGACCTGCATAAGGTTCGCGCAGAAGTGAACTAAGCAAAGACAAAGTACTCTGTTTTACGAAAAAGGACTAGTAATTTTGTACGACTTCTATTTTCGAGAATTGTGAAAACATAAACTTTGGTTTCGTGACTCGTGAAACGCAATACTCGAGCCGAGACCCCTACTCCTACCCCTACCCCTCTGACATAGAGTCTGGTAAAAATGTGTTGCGGGTTTGGCAAAATTGGGCAATCTCGTACCCAGAATCTTCAGGCCTTTTGGTCAACGAGGCAACACCGGGAAGACTCTGGGGACATCAAATCTAGACCGCAGAAATCCTGCGGTTCCGGTTGTTTTGCGCATGCCTCAGTTCTTAAACTGAAGTAAAATCTTCCAGAACGGGAACAGGAGATTCGAAGTGCACTGAGCTTTCTATTTCGGAAACTTTTAACGATGAATTATGATTCACAGTGAAATATTGGAAGAAAAAGAAAAAAACATAAATTCTAGCCGGTACTACTCGTTGTAATTACTCTTTGTAACCTTTGTTATTCGTTTTATTGTGAGTAGAATCGAATCCATGGGCCTTTATTGTGTAGTTTGATTGAAAAGTCAAGTGTTGAAAACATTATAATTTATTTTGTTGTTAAAGCATTATCAAGGCTCTGATCACATCCTAATTTTCGCTTTTTACCTTATGTGATCCACCAGAGCATCGACAAGCTTTTTAAAGACATCCTGGGTATGAGCTTAGTGTTTCTAGCATCTTCTTATTCCACAGTCATTATAAAACATTGCAGAGACCTCGTTGGATTCTTGATCAGCTTAATCCCAAATAACAAGGCAGCATTATATGGATAGGATTTCCAAAAAAGGCCCGTTTAAATATTCAGCCATCCATAAAACAGAGCCCGCTAAAGCGATAAAGAGGAAAATAATATATCGCTGTATACTCCAACGGGAATCACATGCAATGAGATTATCAATCAATAACTGGGAGAAGCAAAAAAGGCTCCGGCTCTTTTCTGACAACTTCCAAAATGAAGAATGACCAAATCAAACCAGAAAAATTTTTCATGTGTTAAATATAGAAATCAACATAAGGCATTATTATACTGTCCTAATAGGGGAGAACTTGGTAGACCTTGGTACATTAAGTCCTGTGTTCGAATGAAAGCCAGTGTTTCTATTATAAAAAAATCGAACTTTAATTTTAAGCTAAGCGGATTAGCCCCCTTGGCGTAAATTTCTTTATATCAAAACTAACTATTAAAATCTATTTACAATTAATTTCGATGAAGAAGAAAAAAATATATTCAGTCAAAGCACTATTTACAAGTCATTTCATTTCATAAGCTCCTGTTCATTTCGATCAAAAAAAAGAAATATTCATTTCAATTTAAAAAAAAGCTCATTTCAATTAAAACGAATTCATTTCGATTTAAAATGAAATAAAAATATTAAAAAGATCCCAAAATACTAATAGCGTTTATGCGGCAGTCGTCAATGAAATCCCGTTATGGAATTTTGTGGAAGGGTGTTCTGGAACTGTGTACAGACCTTAAAATGTCAAAAGAAAGCAATGTTCTGATCCAAGTAATAGTAATGTGATTAGGTTCCTCATTCTTTTCTGAGAGCTTCTCGGCTAGGCGTTTGAGAAAGCAGTTGCAGTCGGCTCCCATCCCACCGTTGGTTCCAAAAACTAGGGGAGTGAAAGATCCTGTTTCAACGTCCCGTACAGTATGTTGCATAGTATCCGGACACTTAAAACAAAAACTCAATTTTTGAGGCGCCCTTTTCAATCCTCGGTAAACGAAGTGTGTCAAATGAAAGCTGAACATTTCAGCTTTAAGATGAAAGTTTTGGCGAGTTTAAAGCTTGCGAAACAGTCACAGGAGACGCCGTTCTGTTCAGGTAAGTAAACTTTTCATGGCTAATATTTACGTTGTTTACCGCGCAGTAAAATTAGTGCTGCTCAGAAAAGGGTAGGTAATATGTGATGTTTTCAAAGAAACTGTTTTATATTTAACGTGAAGATACTAAAACAAGTCAGGTTCTCAGAAAGTTTATTAATTCTTCTTGGAATTCGATTTGTTTGGAATAACGGAGGTCAGAAACATTCATTAAGTATTGATGTCAAGTGCCCAGTATCCTGACAGTTTTTTCTTTGCTGTACAGAATTGATGAATTACCTGTGTACATTATCCGGACAAGATTTATTTCCTATCTATAACTATAATTAAAGCTTAGGATACATGATTAAGGTGTAAAATGTAATTCTACTCAACTCCGTATAGAATTTTGATTTCGTGTGCACGGCTAGTTTCGCGTGACTGCATTTTCTATATATAACCGGAAGCGTCGGAGTTGAACCTGGAATTCTCATACTTCCCCCAGTTGTGACTGCTAGAATGGGGTTACAACGGTCTGAAAAATGTCACAAAGGGATTGAGAGATGTAAAAGAAGGAGGAATTAGTGTTAGGTGTTAGACAAGCAGGCTTATTGTGGGGACTGAGTATGAAGAAATCAACACTGCAGGTCAGACTAAATAGGAGGGTGATCTTTGACCGTCGGATTGAGGTCCCTTCCCCGCGCTTTTTTTTTTAATTATTATTATTATTTTTAATAGAAAATGAAGAAAAAAAGTGGCTTGCAGATTTTCTAATTGAGCTTGAAAACCGCGGCTTCGGTATTAAGAAATCAACACTGCAGGTCAGACTAAATAGGAGGGTGATCTTTGACCGTCGGATTGAGGTCCCTTCCCCGCGCTTTTTTTTTTTAATTATTATTATTATTTTTAATAGAAAATGAAGAAAAAAAGTGGCTTGCAGATTTTCTAATTGAGCTTGAAAACCGCGGCTTCGGTATGTCCACGGTTGCCTTCCTTAAATCAGTGAAAAAGTTCCAAGAAGGGAAGTAAGACTGATTATACCATTTACAAGCCGCTCGCGTTCCTCGCCATACCCCGATACCCCAGTCATTTGTTAAGTTTTATTTCACGATGCTACAATACGTTTTGGAATCGATTGCCAGACTACTTTCCAAGTGCAAGAGAAGTATGTATAAGTCGCTTGCCTGTCGAAATTTATGTACAATTACGTTGTTCTTGTTGTGTCCGGATACTGTGCAACATGGGAGCTCTGCAAAAATATTAATTTCGCAATGGAAATTAATTGACAAAGGCAAAAAAGGTAAACTGTCTTTTGTCATATTAAGGACTAAATAGATTATCTCAGGGCCAAATTTCAGAGCTCTTGCGACTAACAAAGGAAAGTTATTGCAATGTTAAACTGAAGTGTCCGGATACTGGGCAACATACTGTACCCTCTGTTGGTACTTCCGCTTTTCTCCTCCTCCTGCTCCTTAAAGATTGTGGATGTTGTTTTTCCCTAGTTACAATTGGAGTTAACATGCGCTACTCTGACATCAAAAAATACTGTAACTCGACGAGACCAAAAGCCCCCTGCCTTGAAGTCCAGTCTTGCCTCCGGGCTTGTTACCGCGCTTCTGATGTTGAACCGCTCATTATCGAGAGGTTGTAGTTGTGGTTCGACTTCAACGTTGTTGCAAACCTTACAAATAAGTGAGGTAAGTAGGTTGCGAACACCATCGTGTCTCTGCGCCACGAACCCTCCCTTTTTGCATGACAGGGCATGGCAGACGGTATACTTCTCACCACAAACACACTTGCTTGATAAGTCGGACAGGGGCATATTATACCTTAAACGCAGAGAGTCTCTGAATTCTTGTTTATTCAGCACCAAGCCTTAATCGACAAGAGGCACTGCGGGTAAGCCATGAGCTTGCACCCTTGTCTCTCGATTGGTTAACTGACCGCAGCAGATCCGAGGGTAGAGTGGAATCAATACTTTCCATTCTCGATTTCACCGACGCAGTTTTCAAGGCTTGATGTTGTCTTTTTAACTCCTCCGTGGANGTTTATTCAGCACCAAGCCTTAATCGACAAGAGGCACTGCGGGTAAGCCATGAGCTTGCACCCTTGTCTCTCGATTGGTTAACTGACCGCAGCAGATCCGAGGGTAGAGTGGAATCAATACTTTCCATTCTCGATTTCACCGACGCAGTTTTCAAGGCTTGATGTTGTCTTTTTAACTCCTCCGTGGAATTCTCGCCTGCCTCCATGAAGATGCTCTGTGTGGTAATACAATCTACGTGTGATGCTGTTATTTACGTAGAAGCAGCAAACTGCTGTGGAGCTTCAAACCGTAAGTCGGGTACGCCTAGCCCTCCTTGAGCAGGTGTCAGAGTGACGAGCTGACGCAGATCACTAGGGAGGGGCTCCGTTTGACCGAATAGTGTTGGGAGAAGTAAGTCGTCGATCGCCTCTTGGATTGGGTCGACGTAATCTTCAAACAACTCTATTGTACGCATGAAATAGGTAAACTTGGATTTGTAACCCTTCGTGAAAACAGTGTAAGCTGCATGAGGCTGGCTCCTTGCTATCCCAGATAGTGCCTCGAGTTCTCCTTTCCATCCAAGCACCTTTTCCCGACAATATTGATCTTTCAACTCTTGAGATCCGATGACGACCCTTAAGTGGCGCTGACCTTCAGTTGTAATATTGACCTCATCTCCAAACACCTTCTTTTGCCAATTTAAGGTCTAAAATAATCTGTAATAACATAAACTCGAGAGTCGATCGAAAACTACAGATTCGCAAAGAGTCGCCCGAGAAAAGAAAAAAATATTGTCTTTGTGTCAGTATCTACAACCCTCCCCTTTTTTATGTCTGGCATCAAATCGCGGCTGGGTTTACGATTGATTTTCGATCTGTCGGGTTTTTTCCTCTGCTCATAAATCTCTTAGAATTTGTTATTGTCTTTTTCTTCTCCTGTTATCCTAGCCTGCGAGCAAGCTCTCAAATGAAGCTCTATTATCCTTGTCCGCAGTGGCGGTTTTTACTACTGATCGATACTGTATTGCGTGGTTCGACGACAGAGGAGAAAAGCTTCAAGATAAGTTATTTTGGCGCTAAACTTGTTCAACGTGACTTTAAAAAGATATACATCATTCATCCGTCGGCTTTTGAAAATTAGACTTGCGGTTTAACCCAATTTCATGCTACAAACATCGATTCTCGGAAGTAGTAAGAAACATCCCTTGCAAAAAAAGCTTCCGCCAGGAGCCCATTTAGTTTCCGCTTATACCCAATGCAGAAATTTATTTTGGTACTCAACTTCCGTTCAGAAAGGCATAGCCAATCAAAAAAATCGATTAAATTGATGTCTCCAGAGTTTTCCCGGCGCTGCCCCGACCAAAAAGCCTGAAGACTCTGGGTGCGAGATTGTGAATAGCCACAAATAGGGATAGGTGTCAGTTTAACTTATCAAACCTCATTCACACCAAAGCTTAAACATGTTAAAATAAAAGTTGTTTGGATTTTGAATTTGCTTTCTTTTATTGATGGCAAATTTAGTGCAATATGTAACATGCTAAAGTTCATTGAATTCTGTGCAAAAGCTTGTGGTTGTGCAAATGTATTGTTTCTGTGAATGGGGCATTAGTAAATGTGATTATTTCGTTGGGTTACATTCTTCTTGTTAAATTGGTTATTGTTCAGTTTCGTTAAAAAAATAAATAATTTACTCTGCCCTCTCCATGCCTGAGCAAATCGACCGAAAGCTTGGTTAGCTTCTGGAGTCTCAGTGATAGTCAGGAGCACAGAGTCCATATACGCACATACGTCCGTGCACACAGTTGAAATCTTATTTTTTTTCCTATTTCCTGAACGCATTTTTATCATTAAATCGGAATGACTAATTATATTTCGCATTATATTGGTATGTTTGTGTTAGTATTTCCTTTAAGTGGAGTGAGATGGATCCGAATGTGAAGTCATGGGCCTTGGTTGAGACTTTTGACCGTGCCAACCGGCCCCAATTCTTGCAGCTCCCATAACGTTGTTGACTTATCCTGTGTCAACATGCACAGCTGAGCGTTGCTTCAGCGGTATGAAGAGACTGCCAACTCCTTTACGAAGCACCATGACAGACGAGAGATTTTTCAATTCTGCACATACACAAGCACAAGGACGGTAATTGATAGTGATGGCGTTGTAACAGAGTTTGCCAGTCTAAAGGGTAGACGTCTAGCCCTTTCCTTGTAACCTCCTTTATGGCATCACTGTTTACTTCGGTGGAGCGCGAAGTAAAGCATTCGCGGCGCTCAGGAATGTCCCAAAGTTGCTTTTTTGGGGACAAGATTGGGCACGCAAAGTCTGCCGGGGGTAGGTTTTCGGTTTTATTCGGCTATTTGACGAAGTGAGAGCCGTTCGAGATATCTCGAGACCGCTTCGATTTCTTTGATTTATTCTTTAACTTTTTCAAGGAAAAAAGAATTATTATTTTGGCTTTCCCGGGGTTTCAACCGACTCAACGGTGTGACCCGTCAAATCAGAGGAGACTCTAAGTTGAGGGATTAGCCGATTGCGCCACTGCGACCCAAGGTGATTTGGGATATGGAAAATAGCAACGAAATTATGCACTGGTTTCGGGACAAGATTGGGCACGCAAGTTCGTCACTTTTCGGCTTCTTTCGGCTATTTCACGAAATGAGACCGGAATTACTACGAAATATCTTGAGACCACTTCGAGTTGACTTTTTAATTTACTCGAGGAATAAAAGAGGATATTACATGGCCGCACAGAGACACGAAATTTCTCTTCGAGTGTTGACAAACATTTCACGAGTGAGCGCTCCTCTCGAACTGTTTTTAAAGTGTCGCACAAAGACGTTTTGTCTTTGTTGAGTGTTACGTAGTGAAATTGCTGTCATGCTTTGCGCGACTCTCTCGAACGTTCTGTACGATTTTGGATCACTCATGAACAATCAATTAGGGCATGTTTACATTTGAGCATGAGCCAGCAGATTAGCATCAGTTCCTGAAATCATGAACTATGTCGAAAAGCTACTACTATTCGGCTGTTTGGTATTTTCTGGAACCTTATGTGTAACGGTATACATGTTTCAAGGGAGTTGTTTTGATGAACTCTAAAGTTTTTTTCACACCTAAACCCTAAACACGTGTGTCTTCTGAAATTCCATTTTTCCGGTCCACCCCCTCCTTCCTTTATGACCAGTCCCTAAAGTAGTACTCTTTGTTCCTTTCCCTGTTTAAGAGAGAACTGAAATAGCGGGTAACTTATAACTCATAAAATAGTGAAAATTTTTTCTTTTTTAGCCGTGGGAAACTTATTTCCATTTTCATTATTTCCAAACGGAAAAGCACCCCCTCTTTTTTTCCCCAAGCCTGGGTCATTTTACTAAACTAATACATCAAGCACCATTCACCTTGCTTTTTATGATATCATTCAGAGTCTCCATAGAAATGACGGGTCATATATGTTATACATGGCTTTCCAGTTCTGGATTTGCGACGCAGTAATATCTCGTCATTCTCTGCGTCGCTTTCATCATCGTCGCTGGACTCACCAAACTTCTGGTAAAACTACATCATCCTCACCGTCAGAGAGATTACTGTCAGAATCACTATCGTCACCTGTAGATTCGTTTTCTTCGTCACAAATACTACCTTGTTGTATCTTGTGGTATTCGGAGTTTGCATGCTAACCATGCATTGATTGTATTTACTTTCTCTGCTGTCTTCATTTTGCCATGTACCAGATGATGTTTACCAAGGAACAGGAACAGTTAGTTAGACGTATTTTCAGTACAACGGCAAACACTACAAACAGTTACACAGTACAGCTATGGGCTCTCCAGTTTCTGTTGTTGTAGCAGAAATTGTCATGCAAAACATCGAGGAACAAGTCCTAGCTACCTACACGCGAACTGTACCTCTTTGGTTACGTTACGTTGACGACACATTTACCGCCGTACACAAAGACGGAATCGACGATTTTCACGAACACCTTAACAGACAGAACGCGGACATACAGTTCACCAAGGAGATCGAAGAAAATGGTTAGATACCTTTTCTATACTGCTTGGTCACTCGCGACAACAACAAACTAAAAACGACTATTTACAGAAAACCGACACATACCGACCGATTACTAGACCAGTCTTCGTACAACCCGACCTCTCACAAGGCTATTACTATCCGGACTCTGACGAGACGAGCGCGACTAGTTTGCGACTCACATGACAGCCCACAAGACGAGACTGATTATCTTAACAACTTTTTTAGTAAGAACAATTACAACACGGACTTTGTTAGACGGAACACTCACAGTAACACTGATTCCAACTCCCAGACCAACTCTGCCCCTGTTACGACAGCGACTATACCGTACATCAGAGGCACCTCTGAAACTATTGCACGTATATTACAACATTAAACTAGTAATAGTTGACACTACAGCTGCCCCCGTTCTGTATATTGTCGGTCAATAGTATTCTTGCTGGTTGTGTAGCTCTTTGAAATATACCGATTCATAATGAAGATTTTCACACATGTTCCATACAATAGGTGAGATAAATACAGGAAACGCAAGGTTCCATGAACAGTTTCAGCTCGATTTACACAGTTTTGATCAAAACATGCTCAGTTTCGAGAATAGTTTATTCTAAACCATAAGAAAAGATTTAATTAGAAGTTAAATTTTTCGCTATTTCTCTTTCCCTTTTTACATTCAGTTCATTTTGTTTGCCGGAAAGTAAGCCTTAGAAATTAAAAGGACGTTTGATCGATTCACGCTAGCGTTCTAGTCTTATTTGAAACTTTATAACGGAAGGACATCTGTGAGCAGGGAATAAGTCAGCACAGAATTTGATTGTCGGCGAATTTCTGTAAATTTCCATCAATCTGCTAGGGATAAGCTAGCCGTTGTTCACTTGTCTTGCTTGTTGGGGCTGAGTCTCATTCCGGTCAAAGAGAGAGAAAGAGTGTCTGGCAAGGTTTCCAATATAAATCAAAGATTTGTGAACTCGTGTCTGGCAAACTCTCCAAGTGTTTATATATTTACACAGTTAAACGCACCTTATAACCTCCCCTGCGCTTAACGAGTGTCTTTTGGTCCATAACTTTCAAAACAACTGCTCCACAGGATGTCGCAGCGTAACGCAAAAGAGTATCGAAGTATGGCTGCACAGTGTCACAAAATCTACCTGAGCGGTCCCTTCGGGATTTTCTGTCTTTACGTCATCCTAACCATTTCGTA